GGGGGGGGCTCAGACCCGGCCCAGGGGGGGGCTCAGACCCGGCCCAGGGGGGGGCTCAGACCCCTCCAGACACTCACACCCCCCTCCCCGAGCCCCCCTTTCCGCCACGCAGCGCAGAGCCGTTGGGCTCTAACACACCCTGCTGCTCCTCGTGGCTGGTCCAGTTGCATGTGTCAAGGATATATATATATATATTTTTTTTTTTTTTTTAAACTAATTCTCTCGGGTTTGTACCTAAATAAACCGCTCCGGCGGCTGGCGAGGCGGAGGGAGGGCTTGTTTCAGCACGGCTCTGCGAGTCTGGCTCGGGCTGAGTCCGTGGGAGCAGAGACATTTTCATCACAAAGGTACGCGGTGCGGCACACAATAGGTTGAGCTGGGCTGTCTGCACCTGATACATGTTATTAACACGGCTGAGCCGGGTCCTTAAGGCTAATCCGTATGCAATATCGTTCTGAACCTAGCCCAATCACCAAGCTGTTTATTACTATGCATTATTCATCGATATGCATCTTTGCACATGCATACATTAATTTAGAGGCGTCTGTGTCCAAATGGTTACCAAGCACCTTCGTAAGATTCAGGCCAAAGAAAAAAAAAACCCAAACCCCACACCAAAATCAATAAATAAATAAATAAAAATCAAAATCTCAGAGCCCTCTCTCCCAGCAAACCACACCCAAATCAATGCATTTTTACTAAAAGGTGGGGAAAAAAAAAACCAAAACAAAACCAACAAACAAACCAAGGTCACAACCAAGTGCAGCCCTGTAATATACACACAGCACAGTGATAAAAGACTCCAGACTAAAAGGAAAAAGAAATAAGCCTGCAGCTTGGCCCTGAAGGATGAAGGTGATGTGCTCTGGTAACTAATGAAGGAGGGAGAAATGCAAAGGCCCTCGGGGGAAAAGCTCCACCTCCTTCCCCTTCTGGGACCAGAACAGTGGATCAGCCAGGGTTGTAGCCACACTGATCTCAGGTGCTTCGCTGGGGATTGGAGGCCAACATATGGTCTCTCAGGTACACTGAAGTCCTGTATTATTTAAGGTTTATAAATATTAATAGTCATAGCATTGCTGATCAGGCAGCCCACGGAAGCTGCAGAGTGCTGACAGAGGCTCCCGCGAGCTGAAAGCCTTGGAGCGATTGTGTTGACACGTTCTGCAGTCTGCTGAAATGTATGCGGTGGCTTTCAGGGATAGCCTTAAGTAAAGCTCATTCATCACTTGGCACATCCTTGGAAGATGCTCTGATGGCCACAGACACAGGCCTCTGTGGCGGGATGGAAAGAGAATGACCTGCCAATAAGCTGGTCTAGAGGCTGTGAAGTGACTGAGACAAGAATGAAATCCTGCAGACAGGGCCACAACTTCCAAATGTTTCAGACCTGATAAAGGTCTCTCCCAAAAGCTGAGATTTCCTGCCATACGGACCTCTCTGTTCCAATAAACCCTCAAAACAACAATCACATATTGAAGAGCCATCTCCAAGTATTTCCCCTTTCCACACGCACCTGAGGACGCAGTCAGCAGCGTCTTCATTTATTTTGCGTTCAGCTCCAGCTGTGCTCACGGGAAGTCCATCCGAGACTCCTCACCACAGGCTGCTCTGCAGAGACCCCGACCGGCCTCACGTATCAAATCAAAGATGATTTTTCAATCGCCCATGTGGAAACTCCAAAAGAATCACTGAACTTCTAAGAGGAATCCTCCTTCGTATTCTCCTTTTCGGATATTTCATAGGATGTTTGTATGGTACCCTCTGTCTTTACGGTCCTTTTATGGACACTGAAAAAAAATACTGAGCTCATTTCAAAAGTTGTTATTCCAACCTGTGAAACTCAAGTATCAGACCTTAAGAACTGTCCAGTTGTAGCAAATTCTACTCATTCTTTTTGTTACACTTGAACTGAAACGTTTTGATACACCTTCACAACTCCGTATTTTATTCCCAGTATATTCTTTTTCCTACAAGAAGAGTGTTATCATGAGCAAAGCTCAACCAGCCAGTGCAAAGAGAACTTAGAGCCCCCAAAATCACCCTGACTTTGGGACCAGCCATAGAAACTTCTTGTCTACACGAGTCCCGTTGAGCCTCTATAACGTCTGACACACAGGTCTTGTTTAAGATCCCAGAATTCCCAGCCAGATACATCAGCTTCCTTATCAACTTTGTTATCATAAAAAAGAGTGTAGGTTGATGCAACTTACATTTCAGTCTGAGTTGGTTTACGGAGAAGTAGCATGGCACAACTGGATATGCCCGTGCTCTACGCATGGAAATAACCAATTTTTGCTGAAAAAAATCACAGGGAGTTGATAATCTCTGTGCTTAATAATCCCATAGTGTGACTATTTTCACTGAGAACCACATAAATTACTAAAAAAAAAGTCACACTGACCCTCATCTGAATTTCATAAACCCAGCATCAATAAGAAAACTTCCTCAGGTACCAGCTCATACTTGGCCCTATTGACCACAGAGGTGGAGAAGCACTGAAGTTACGTAAACACAATCTCAGAAAAGCAACGCATGAAAGATGAGTTAATTTTGTCAGTCAGTATTGTCCACACACCATCTAGTAGCAGGAACAAAAGAGGGAAACTGAGTGGAATCCCAACATCAGGTATTCTTAACATCATAACACTCTGGGCCAGTGACTTCTAGTAGAATTATCTCAGTGCTGCAGAAAAGGGGATGAATAGAGAGCTCGCACAGTCTGCCTGAAACTGCAGAGGAGAGCGGTGGCAGAACTGGCTTAATTTGAGCTTCTTCTGTGCTGGTGCACAAAAGTCCTAAGCGACAGAAGTACTCACTGCCTTAAGCACTGCAGTACCACGGGACAAAAGACAATCCCTGCCTGGGGATTTGCCCTGGCAAAGACAAGAAAAAGGACCGCGTGAAGAGCACGAGGATTTCACAAGGATCCTTTCACACCCCACTCCACCCCCCAAAAAAAAAAAAAAAAAAAGTAGTGATATAGAGGGGAAAATATGAGCACAAAGATATGCAGCTCCTCATCGAACAAGTGGAAAATTAGGTCTCTTTACTTAAATCCTAACACTCCCGCTCTGCTGGTCTCCGTGGCTCGCCTAGAAAAGCTCAGGATCACGGGGCTCCTCCACTGACCTGCGCTGCATCAATAGCTCTAGTGATTTCTGATCTGTCTGGCCAAGATGTGCCAACTTCTCATCCATAAAATAATGAATGATGCTTTATTACATTTCACTGCCATCGTTATTTACATGTGCAGGGTAAGGCTGAACAATCAAACTCGATTTGAATTAGAAACAATTCGATATATGTCCTACGTTGCTTTATTTTCCTACCATCCTTAGGTGAGACAATTGCTGTGAATCCAGAATTTTCTTCATTATTTGAAGATTAAGAACCCAGGCAGAAATTACAGCAGTGTGCTCTGCCATTAAAGTGCCATTATTAAAATAAATGACAGCAACTACTTCCAAATCTGGGGCTCTTCCTATTGCAAATAATGAATTATTAATACTTCCAGTGGGGACAAAATTCATCACGCAAAGCAGGATCCCATCGAAATTTGGATGTTTGCAAAAGCAGAACTCCACAAAACCTCCATTCTCCAGTGAAAATGAGCAAAGAAAGAGACTGGTTTGAGCCACCGTGCCATCTTAAGGCACGGCTTAGAGAACTCTCGCCTGGACCCTCCGCAGGACACAGCCCCCACCAGGGCCAGGCTTCTCCTGGCAGATAGCCACGGGCATAACAAGCCACAGGGGAGATTTACCTGTCCCTGGCTGCAGAGGTACGGTGTTCAGTGCCTCCCGCATCCGAAGGAGAGCCAGGGAGCACAGGTCAAACCCTACCAGGGGAAGCTGCAGCTCCCCATGCGAATGAAGAAGGTGTATTTGCAGAACACGGGCTTAGGCTAGCAGAAGCACGGCTGACGTTCACACTCAGTGAAACGCTAGGTGCTTTTACGTCAATGACAATCCTTCAATTAAGTTTCACTAGGTCACAATTTAAGAACGCAGTTTTGTCCTCAGAGTTAAATCGAGCCGATACCGTGTTTTTAGCTGGGTCCACTGAGAGGAGACTCCAGGGTCAAGTTAGCTAATTGCTTTTACTGAACGTAGAGCAAAAATCTTCAGGATTGCTTGGGAGCATGGGGCTAAATGCAGAGATCCAGTGACCACTCCTATACACTACACAAGTGGTTTTCAAAGAGAAGCTGGACAAAGCCTGAATATAAACCCACAACCAGATTTCAAGGATGCTCTGAGCAAGGGCTCGGGGTAGCCTGTGCTTGAGCTCTGCAACCGTCGCTGCTTACAAAATTACGCAGCCCTTAAAAATACCACTTGTTGCCACTGCAGTAGCCTGTGAATTTCTCTGCCTGCCCACAAACTGGGAAAGCAATCTTTCCTCTCGCGGGCTGTTGCCTTATCAATTGCTGATCCCTCCATCTGACCCTGTAATTTTAATTTTTCTAAGGTGCAGGCCCGCTATCAGGAGGTGGCAGTGAATAACTATATTACCCGAATATTCCTTAAACATTACGAATCAAACCAAATCCTAAAATGCTTGGCTGGGTTGGAATTGTTCTGGCATAGCTGAAAGACTGAAAAAACTGAAAGACCAAGTTGTCTACGGAGAAATCATTAACCAGCTTCCCTTTGGGATATGATAATTGCTGGAGTGGTTGACAGCTTTTCTTGGCGTTGAGCGCTCTAAGATGAGACACATTATTTCAGAAACATTAAAGACCAGAAGAAAGTCTTTTGATAAATGAGTAAAGTCCATTCAAATGCTGAAACAAAGCTCATTTATTTCCACGGTCCTTTTTATTTCT